ATATATATATATATATATATATATATTTGGTAGGTTTTTAAAAAGGACTAATGAAGTTTTCCTATATCAGAAAATAGATTTATGAATATACCAGAAAATTATATCTTTTCCCCAGATATTGCTTAAACAAAATGTTCATGATTACATGTACTTAGTTTTAATTAAACATTATAACTGGTGGAGGAACACACTAAAATAAAACAATGGACATTCAAAGATTAAAAAAAGCATTTGAATCTCTATATAAATTCATAAAATCAAGCCATCATGTTAGTATACTATCCGTATGATGTTCAAGCATAAGGAATCTTGTGATGATATAAAGATGGAACATTTGCAGCAAGGAAAGTTTCAATTATGTTGTTTTCTAAGTTATTGGCTGATAACAATGTATTATGTTGTAAGTGTTTTGATTATGGACATTTTTTTTATGAACGACCTCAGACAGTTTCCTTCTTTTTTGTCCTAAATTTTTATGCATTTCAAATGTTCTGTTAAGATCCATGAAAACATAAGACTAAATAAAATGTTAGAGAATTGATGATACAGAAATAAGTTCATGTAAGTGTGTATTTGTAGAAGAAAGATTTTAGTTCATAGAAAAACTATAAAAAACATACCATTGAATAAAATGTCAGATTTTATCTAACAAAATGATTGTATTTAGAGTAATTTTTCAAAAAATGATAACGTTCATAGAAATGTGACTAAAATTTCTGTTCTAACTTTATTTTGGTGTTAATGGCCATTTAGTATTAACTTTATGAATATAACTGCATTGATCAAGTACTGGATAAAGTTTATATTCGAGGAAATTCTGTTACTCATATGTGTATATCCCCAAGGTCTTTGGACAGATTATGTTTAAATATAGAAATGTTAGTAGTATTGCATTTGAAGAAGTGTTATGTTAGGTGTTTGAACAGCAGTAATATAATTATCTGAACATTGTTTTTGATGAGTGACTTTCAGCGTTAGTGTCAGCAATATCTGAACATTTGCTTTTTTTTTTATTTAAGCCAAACATGTGTTGTTTCATTAGTGTGATTTCTCTATTGTAATAATTTATAAATAATCCAGTAATTTAAATCTTTTGAAAGCAGGTTTTGTGATATTATTGTATATATACATATATATATATATATATATTGTTGTAAGCGGGTTCTTTATATTCAAGAACATTGTGGCCTCCTTGATGGAAAAGTATTTTGGTCAAGCAAGTTTTACTGTTATTATAAACTGTAAAGCAATGAATTGAATGAATATTATTGTATAATAGTATTGAATATACAAATCCATGTTACATGTCTTCCCTTTAATCTTTCTCAGTATTTTAACAAGTTTTGTTTAAAAGAAACAGATGTGTTGGTAAGCATTAAAATGATTCATACATTCCATTTGCAGTACCAGATAGAACTACTGTTTCCTTAGGTATGTAGATTTCTTCATTCCATCTTTTGTGGAACATTGTAAACCTAAATGTTATTTTGATTGATTGCATTCTGTACACATTCAAGTAGAAGTAGATGAAGTGTTTCCTTGTGAGAGTTAGTTCATGTTCAGTTGATGGTGAAAAAATATTCAGTTAAAAGGCTAGCTTTTCTTCTGTAATGTTTCAATTTAAGCACAAAGAGTTGTAGAAAGAGAGAAATATTTCTGTGGGATGGTGGTTATTGGTTTTGGTTCTAAGAACAGTTTAAAAATGAGAAACAATTATTTCTCTTGCAGTGGTAGTTTTTATTCATTATTTTGAATCTTGGCACAAAATAAGATTGATGAGAGCAAGTTATTGCCTAATTGCTTTGTACATATATTCATGGTACTTATAACTGATTGATGCAAGTAAGAAAACTGTTTCAGTGGGAATGGTAAGATTTATGTGTGTTTGTTTGATATCTAGGAGAATCAACATTTTCTTTGGGAATGATGTTACCAGCGCTTTTTTTTGTAAAGAAATATTGACAGTTGATAACCATTTGTAGTTTGTTGTTTTAATATGTATCAGAATTGAAAAGGACATTTAAACTTTTGTTATAAGGCTCTCTAAGAATTGATTTTGATTAAAGTATTTGTTATACTTCAACATTTACAATTGTGTTAAAGTTTTGGAATCGTGAACTTCAAATCAATAAAAAACTGCCGGTAATAATTTCTGATTTCCAGGTTCAATTTTTCTTGTCATTATGCTTGAATATTAAACTAAATTGTAATAGGAACAGACAATTCAGCTGTGAGTTTTTGTACAGCTTCAATTAATACTGAAGGCTAAGATTTGTATTTGCCAGGATATATCCAGTTTGAAGAGTAATGTTAGAAATGGTATATTCTAGGTAGAAGAGGAAAATCCTAGAATAATTTTATTGTTTTACACCTGTTTTATGAAGTGCTTTTTGGATTTGAAAACAATTATTTCAAAATTAATGAAGAAGAATTAAATAAAAATGTGGGAATATAAGTTTGGTTAGTTTTGTTGGCTTTGTGTATAATAAACACACAAATATATTGAAATGTGGTTGGTTGTTGGTCAATCTAGCACAGTCATGTTTTCAGTAGATTGTTGTTAAAGTTTCAAAAAACTGTAAGTTTCTTTCCAGTAAAAAAAACAGTGCATTTTGATTTGCATCTTTTATTTATATTTTGACTCTATACACTGAACAAGTCAATAGCTCTTATGAACTTAAGAATTTACTCTCTATTCTATACATGTAATAAGTAGTACAGCTACAAAGTTTTTAATATTGTTATTACAACTAAATAGTTTGAGCTGGTAAAAAGTTAATTATAACCATTAGCTACTGTGTTGGCCTTTTAGGTCAGAATGTTAGAGCACCCTCTTGGCATGTAAGAGGTACCAGATTGTGCTAAAGTTATGTTACCACATAAAAATTGGTAATCATCCTATGAATTCTGAGTCTTATTTGTCAAAGGGGAGGAATATAGTACTCCTAGAGTCATTAAAAATTGCTTTACTTGCTAAATAATTGTGTAACTGATCTTTTTGTGTTATTCAACTCTCATGAATGTTTTCATGTAATATTTGTAAATACATATAACACCTTACATATATTTATTTATACACATATATTTATATACTAATAACTTAAATGGACTGTCTCTGACTCTCATACAAAGTATTTTAGTAACCTTTTTGGGTTACATCAAGCTGGCTAAGTTTTGATAGCTGCAGTACAGTAATGTACTACCATTTAAGGGTTCTCAATCTCAACTCGTTTCTCTTTTCAAGCATCAGGAAATAAATAATCACCAACAGAATTTAGCTAAACTAAGAATTTTCATCAGAAATTTTCATAGGTCATGATTGATGTTCATGCTGTTACTACAGTAAATATCAATTAACACACAGAGGAAATACAACTCCTTCCCTGCACATGGAGAAGTCGTGTACTTCAGGTGTAGCAGAGAAGGTCTAGTGATGATCATATAGTATTTTTCATAGAACTCTTTCCACTTAGCTAGATTGGATGATTTATTACTCTCATGAAACTTCTCTAGTGTTTTACCTCAGAAAAATCGCATGATAGTTTAGAAAGCAATGGTTGCATAGCTCTCTCAGCTGAGTTGCTGGACTTTCAGCCATCATTCAACTGCATAAGATGTTGATGGTCTAGGTATTACATTTACTAACACCAGCCATCTGAACTGGTAATTAAGCAGCTGTCATCTAATATCCTATAGATATAATCTTGTAGCGAAACTGTTCGATAATTTGGAAAGTAAGGGTCACAAAGCCCTTTTGGTCTTATCCTAACTTTGTATAATTGAATGGTAATCATACAATGCAATGCATACATTGTACTTTACCACCAAATAGCTCAAAAAGCAAAGAACATTACTTCTTTTTAATCCTTAGTTTAACTAAATGACTGTCCTAGCTGCATCAGAATCAGATTTAATCCCAGCCATATCATTTGGTAAGCTGGCAGTGGAAGCTAGGTCTCTAAATCGGGTACTTTCTTATCTGACTCGTTCTGAACAGATAGATAAGTACTCTCAGGTCTTTCTTTCTGATTCAAATAGTTGATTGTGTCAAGTACTAAACCTTAAAGATTCTGCATCAAGCATTGTACTGCCTGTCCCTGAATCTGCTCATTCCAAACAGTAACCTATCTGAAATGATTAAGGAAGTGGTCAGAGACTTCCTTTGGTTGTACTCTTAAATATTGAGGAGAAACCTACTTAACCTTACTCAGAGGGACCTGTGAGGATGAAATAAATATTTCTTTCGTGGACTCTTGAAAAACACCACACTGAGATGTCCCAAACTTTGAAGGAACAGTATGGTGAAAATACTTACACTAACAAGTGGTAGGCCCCTGCTTTAGGACAAAAGAACTAGGAGGTGTGCTTGGCAGCTCTTCCATCATCTTATTGTGATCAGTGGTTGTTTTTAGCAGTATACCTTCTGACTTGGAGAGTTTCACAACTGCTCCTTGGTTGATTTACTCTACCATTCATCTGCTTATGAGAGAGCTCCTGTTGGCAAACATTGTCCACCAATAGTACCCACAGTCTCTCTCTGATGTTCTCAGGTGACTTTTACTAGAACCAGAATTGGGTTACTCTGGCTGGCAAAGGTCTGGAAGTCATATACAGACTGCTCCATTTGATCTCAAACTCATCAGACAACATACCACTACCACTGTGACCATCTTCAGTTGTCCATACTTCCTTTGCACTGAGGTCAATCCTTAGAGGTAGAAATTAATAAGCTGTTTTAGCTGCAACAGATTCTGGCAGTTCCACTTCCTGAGATTGTGGCAGTAACGAAAAAGATGTCACAGACCTTTGCAGCTTTGGCAAAAGCTACATCTAAGAGAGGATTCCTCCTAGACCCGATAACTTTCTTAAACAGCAACCTCCCTTTCGTGTCTGACTCTCCACCTTGGT